TTTGTTGATTTGACGCGAGTTTCTTGTATTATTGTGTCATTGTTAAACTTACATTTATCCTGTTTACATGGTATAAACATTTGCAAGACAAAGCTTTCAAGACAAAGTTGAGAAAAGCAAAGGTATCATACGTCACTTACCTTTATTAGGAGGACGACTACGTTAGCAAAGTTAGTGCAAGAAAAACTCAGATACCGTCTTACATTTGTTTGAAAACGGATTTAAGCGGAAAAGAGTGATCTGGTGAATGAAACGAAAAGTAGAGGTAGATTAACAACCACTTGCATTTCTGGCAGTTTGTGATGAAAGATGACAGAGAAACACTGGTGCCGAACGAAGAAAATGAAACATGCCTCCATCCCTACAGTTACCAAGAGGAACAGAAAAGTAAGGTCAGACGCCATGTAGAAGAACCTGTAGGCAGTGGCTTGGCGGACACAAAAGGGAAGACTATTTACCTTTTTAATTGCGATACCTTATGCAATTTAAGTGAAGTGGAATCACTACTGAAAGCCGTTGAAAATAAGATTCCATTCAAGATCTCGAAAATCGTGAAACATCCGTTTAGGGGTGGACAAATTACTGATGAAGCTGAGAAAACAATTCCCAGTTTGAAAGACGTGGATTACGCTGTATTTGTTGTCCATGCACACGAAAGTTCTCTCTCGTTCAACGAAGACAGCGGCTACGGAAAGATCTATAGAGCTCTCAAGAAACAAAGTGGTTCAGGTAAGTTAGTCACGTTAGATCACGTAATAAGAAGTGTTGTTTTGTTCCTAGCAAACTCTGTTTAAAGAGAGTTTCTATTGGATTTGCGCAACAATTTCCCTCTTTACCATCCGACTGGAATGTAAAATAGATGAGACCTTTTGAAAAATCTATGTCAACCACAGTCTTTTGCGCACCTCAACTTCATCATCATCGTTAGTCCTGGCTCTCCTCTGGGAGAATAGGACCATACCTCAACTTTAGAGGCGGCCATTCCTGGTATAACCGTAATTCGGAATTTTGTTCTGAGGTAATGAATATGCCATTATCCTCTCCATCTCAACTCAATCAAAGTCTATTACCTAGTTTCCACTTGCAGATTAGTTCTTCCAGAATCCGAACAGCTTTTGCTTTTTGGTGCAGACTGTTACTTTCTCTGTGTAATGGATAAGTTTCTCAGACGAGGTCGTCGATGCCGGGTTGAAAAAGTGAGACTGGAGATCGGAGAAACTCCACGCGATTGTCTCAAAACAACAAGACAATGCCAGCTATGATGATGATTAATAGAACAAAGAAACTCCAATGTTAAAGGGACAAGAATGTTCTTTGGAAAATTTGATATTCGGGGAGATGTTTTCTTGCAGGACACAGCGCGTGACCCTGGGCTAGCAGATATAGCACCATTTTGCCTGGCTCGGGTAGGCAATCACAGTGCAAGATTTGGTTCATCTTCTCACATCAAATTGTTATTGTTTTGTTATTGTTTTTTTAAAGATGAGAACGTACTGATTGTCATTGCTGGGGACAACAAGTACAAAGACAAAGAAGAAGAAGAGCAGCATTTCCTCTCCCGCTGGGCAAGGGAATCGGCCACATGTCGTCAATTTCGTTCAGAACTCAAAGATGGAAGGAGAAGCTTCATCTTTTCTTGGAATAAGAAACACAGACCAGTACACGAGGATGCGCTGCTGCATTTCTTTGATCCAAGCAAAAAAGGACGGAAGTTCAAATATCAACCGAAACCAGAACCGGTAGCCAGTTCTGAGGAACCTGGCATGACTCTTCCATCAGCCATAGATATCCAAAAAGAGGTACGATTACGTTTATTACTGACAGGAAACTCTTCTCGAAAGTAAACGTTCATTCAGCGTCATATCCACCCTTATTATAGGAAGGAGAAAATTACTTCAATGTCATTGGCTGAGAGCAATTAAGGATTACACTATTACTCGTAATATTTGAAAATTCTTTCAAACTGCACTTATCTAACGGCTGGTGAAATTTTGAGACAACTTTCAAATTTCACACGTAGTGTAAATCCTAAATTGCACTTGCATTCATTACATTTAAGAAATAGAAAACATGTACCGTGTTTCTATGTAAACAATAGAGTGTTTATGTTTCGGAACTATCGGCTGATAGTTGCCCCGCGGAAATTTGATGTTCTTAAAACAAATATGCTAGTTTTAAGAACATCAAATTTCCAAGGGGCAACTATC